GGGAGAGAGAGAGATAACATACAGAATGTTAATTACAAATGTTTCAAGAATTATTTTTGTATTTAATACAAGTTATTCATGGCTAACTCGAATTTCCAACTTAAAATCGAGAAAAAGGATAAAACATATAAAGCTCCACAAAGTTTTCAGCAGATACTTCACCCGTAAAAAAAACATCCAACAAAAATTTTAGGGAATCTCAGAATTAGTGTAGAAAAATTGGCTCAAATTATATTATCAGAGGTAAAGTCAATTCTAAGAAAAGGTAAAATACACAATATCCATAACTGATCTACATTATTTTATCATGAATTATCAAAATGAAGATACTTTTGTTTATTGGTGAGATAAACATGAAATAAAATTATTCAAACGTATCTGCCATTTTTTTAACAAAACATTCAAAAAGAATGACTTGGATGAAAATACATTATCTCATGTTAATGTTAAGCACCAAACGTCAAGAAGGCAGTTTCTCATTATCATTTGGAGTTGTTTTCCAAAGGTATAATACACAAAAATGAATTAGCAAATGAGTTACCATTTTATCAAAGCCAAAATCCTGTCTATTAATTAGTATACCGCTAATGAAAATTATGATCTTTATTGATGCTTGAATGAATTATTGAGAACTTCTAAAAGTAGTTGATTTTTCAATTTTGATACTTTTACAGTTGATAAGGAAACATCATTACATGCATTAGTTATTTGTAACTTTGCACTTGTACTCAGGAAAAGCATGACTTGTTGGATGGAAAAGCAAAGCTCGACTAATTGAATTGATATTTCAAGTACCGCAAAATACACATCAATCCAAACATCTGCATTATACAAAAAAAGAATAACTAACACATTCTTGTCGTCATCGTATACTGTGAACAGATTTTTGATTTGGCCTCAAATTAACAGAAGTGCTTCAGGTGAAAGACTGCTTACCAAACACATCCCACATATGCTAAGGCCAGAAATACAACTGAATCAACTATAAGATGATCCCTTATGGCAGTGGTCATGATTACTCTCTAGAGCTCACACCTTTAAAAAGCCTTCTCCATCCCCTTCTACAACCACTGCCAATTTCACAAGGCCAAAAACTATTTTGTTCTTTGGATAGGATTCGCAGTAATATACGTAATTAAAACAGAAGTTTTGAATCTGGTGTCATTTTGAAATGTTTTTTAATGGTTATTAGTTTTCCTGTTTCAGTTTTTGTGTCTTCAGGATATAGCAGTAGACCACGGCATCCTGTAGCCTGTAATTTTTATTTCTGAGGCCCACGTTGAACTCAACTGATTAAATTCAAAGTTTAAACTGTTCAATTGCACAATTACAACCATCAATCTCAAATCTCATCTGAATGGATACTTTTAGACCACAATGACACAAGTAAAGGCAGAACATCTTGAACAACCTGGTCATGTCTTAAACTGAACCATTAACTGGAATTGCCTCAAGTAGAGTTGGAAAGTAATTGCAAACAAGATACTAGAGACTCCTCCTCACAGCACAGCAAGGCTTTCCCAATTACGTCTTTCTAGCTTGTAGCAAACCAAACCTCTCTCAATAATCTTCTCCACCATGTGATTGTTCCCATTGGCTTCTTCTAGTTTGGCAGCAGTTGTCCAAATTTGACGATCAGTGGGAAATGTTTTCTCTAGCTTTATTCAGAACCTTACGGGCATTTTCATAGGTTTCTAACCTGTAACAAATGTTAAATATTTTAATTAAATTAATTTCTTTAATTGATAAAATTTTCTTTTAATATATCACCATCGAAAATGATGGAGGGGGGAAGACGTATGAAATTAAGAATAGGGTTCCCCCAAATTAACCTAGGTCCAAGGGTCCCCATTCCTGTTAAAACCGCCCTGGATAAGGGCTCTTCAAAAATACTACAACTCTTGATGAATTGACCTGTTGATGTTTCCTTGCTCCTTTGTATTTGTGTCTTCCAATAGCTTATGACCCTGGCTCTTAGATCTTAAGTCCTTCCACCTTATTTTCAGACTATTGTTATTACATGTTTGTACTGAAAATGTTCTAAGTATCTCCATAGAGGTGTTCCATTTCTTTGCACACAGCCATTATGTTTCTTCCTTGGTCTTCTTACAGTGTTCCTAAAGTTTGAAATTCTTTTTGTGTAATAATTAGATTACTTCGTTGTGTACTTATAATTTTTATATTCAAGAATATCTTTTTATTTGTATTAAAGTTTGAGATCTTTGATCTCAATCAGAGAAGTCCTCTGATTGAGGTCACATGACTTTCGCAATCTCCTAAAAACTTAAACAGTTTCCTTCTTTTCCCGTTGACTATCTCTGTCAAACCAGAGCATGTTTATTCTCTTTAGGTAGGTACTGTGTATTTTTTGGAAAACTTTACCTGTCCAGAGCTACACTAATTATTGCTATTCATGTTGCATTATTTAATATATCAATATCATTTATTTTGGGCCTTTCTGACAAATTGTCTCCAAAGTAATGTCACTGTTCTCCATTTAATTATTTTCAATTCACTTTTCCTTCTTCTTTTCCCATTCCTAATCTTATGTTGAGAAAACACCAGAATAGCAACAGGAAGGTGATCCATGAGTCCCATCTAAAAAATTGAAAAGTTAACGAAGTTGTTCCAAAAAGTGGCAGATGTAAACAGTAGCACCTACTTCGTGTAGTTTTGCCTTGATTGTTGGCGGCACTTCTGCCACTTTTTGGGTAGCATTGTGTATTTTCGGAATTTAAGAAATTCTTGAAGTTAAATTACATGGTAAGCTCAACACAATTGTTGAATCCCAATTTTTTACATCACCATATTAAAATGTTCTCATAAAATTTAGAAACCTTTCTTTCAGCTCTTGACCCCCTGTTCTCAGAAGGTTGTCAGGTTTTTGTTTTGTAATGTAATAACATTTAAACATTATCTGCCATAATTTATCTTGATTGTTCTAAATGATTGGAAAGTCCCAACTTATAAACTTTTGGATAACCTCCAAATTTGGAGACAAATACTGTACAGTTATTTGTACTAAAAATAACTAGAACTCGGTGTACCCACTACACTTTCATGAGTACCAGAACACAAAGTGAAGCCCTTGCGCTATCAGGCCAGCTGGCAGCAGAAATAATTTTAATATTTCTCTTACAGTGTGCCCAGCAGGGAGCCTTTGAATGTGCACGAGCCATCTATGCACACGCACTAGCCACCTTCCCCAGCAAAAAGTCGATATGGCTACGAGCTGCTTATTTCGAGAAGAATCATGGCACAAGAGACACCCTGGAAGCCCTTCTGCAGCGCGCCGTGGCTCACTGTCCCAAATCAGAAGTATTGTGGCTAATGGGGGCCAAATCAAAATGGATGGCAGTATGTATAAATGAATTTCTTCTTTTGAATTATGCCAGAAAGAATTTATTTTAACTAAAGGAACAGAACATTTCAAATAAAATTGTGGATTCGGTTAAAAAAATATTTAGGTTGATTATCAAAGGAAACTTTTAGTTCTGTTTCAATTTTAAAGGGTTTCAATCAGTTTTCCTGGTTTCATTTGTGTATTTATTTATGTTTAGGATGCATTTCATTAATTCACTTTATTAAAAATTAATGACAATGCTAAAGAAATTCTATATATTGAAGTTTTCGATAATTCCTTTCCCAAACTGAGGAAAGAACCTTAATGATTTAAAAGTGAAATAATAACAACAGGTAGTGTAATGCACTGGTTGCTAGGGAGATGCCATGAAGATAATGTATCTTCATGTTCTTTATACATTATCCTGGTACTATGTAAATTTATTGTTTTAGGGTGATGTGCCTGCTGCCCGAGGCATCCTCTCATTAGCTTTCCAGGCAAATCCTAACTCTGAAGAAATCTGGTTGGCGGCTGTGAAGCTGGAGTCTGAAAATTCAGAATATGAGCGAGCCAGGCGGCTTTTGGCTAAGGCCAGAGCATCTGCTCCAACTCCTCGAGTTATGATGAAATCAGCAAAGTTGGAGTGGGCTTTGGATAATTTGGATCAAGCTCTCCGACTCCTGGAAGAGGCAATTAAGGTCTTTCCTGACTTTGCCAAGCTGTGGCTTATGAAAGGTCAGATTGAAGAACAACAAGGCAACCTTGATAAAGCTTGGGACACCTACAATACCGGGGTGAGCTTTTTGTGAATATTATAATCAGGTGCAAATGTTAGAGACATGGTAGTGTAAAGGCAAGGCCATTCACTAGCTATCTCACCATTTCCATGTAGTACATAGTGCTTGAGGTTTGGAAAGGGTAGAAGCAAACCATCTTCCCATTAGCAGGGTAAGCACTTTCTGGAAAACATTTAGCTAACAACTAGAGCAAAATGTATGACTTTGACTGATATATTCTCCTACTCTGGCATAGGGTTAATCACAGATGGAATCTTCCGTAATCACGTCAACTCAAAAGAAAGGATAAAGACTTTGTAGACGAATGCTCCAATTCTTCACCTCTTCGTGTAAACACTGATTGTAATCAATGACAAATTCTCCGAATACTGGTTTCTTAAATTCTGCCCACAAAACATCTACTTTAAAAAAAAAACATTTTTCCCTACACCTACATCAGTCTCCCCTTAATGAGCAACATGGCACTATATTACATTGGCTCAATAGTCATATTGTTAACAAATTTGTCTACTATAGTATTGGTAAATATTATCAACCTAGAGGTGTTTTTCTGACGTAATGTTTAAGGGTCATTTCAGAGCACCTCTACACTTTGCAACTGTCGACTTAATGAATTATTAATATATTAACTCTTTATTATTACACATTCAGTACAGTAGTAAAATAAAACTACTGAATTCTTTGATGAGGGATGTTTAAGGGGAGTAGGCTGCTCTTCACTTTTGCATAGAGTCCACACTAGCCTAGTTACCAGCATTGCTGTTGACCTGTGAGGTATCGTGTTCTGCCCAGGTCCCGGGATGACCAGCCATACTTAATGCCAGTATTCAAACTGTGAGGCGCCACAGTTTCAGAGGGGAGGCACAACAACTTTGTATTTTTGGCTATGGCAGTAATAAATACAAAATAGAGATGAAGAATAAATGTCCAGAATGAGATTGCCATTTCTAAATAAGTGCTGAGATTTGTTGAACTGTGTGGCACCAAACAAGCCATCTTATATTTCTGAACTATCAGTATGTTTTCTTTTTGTTGTTTTCCTTACAGTTTTCCCCATTTTGTCAAACATTAATTAAAATCAGTAATTACAACAGTGAACAGTGCAAATCACTTGCAACAGTTATTTTTTACAGTGAAAGGAAATAATAAAAAGTATGCATAACGGATTTATTTTCTGGAACAAAATATTTAGCTATTATTGACATTTTAATTTTAATAAGGGGGGCATGTGCAGAATTTGTTACATGGGAAAAGTCGTGGCAGCAAAAAGTTTGAAAACCTCTGCTTTATGCTGTTGCAGATAAAGAAGTGCCCATACTCCGTGCCCATGTGGAAACTCCTGGCTGCGCTGGAGGAGCGTCGAGGGCTGCTGACAAAAGCGCGCTCGGTGCTGGAGAAAGGGCGCTTGCGCAACCCGCAATGCGATGTGCTGTGGTTGGAGCAGATCCGCATTGAAAATCGAGCAGGTCTTCGTGACATTGCCAACACTCTCATGGCTCGAGGTGAGAGAAGCTGAACCAGGTTCTGCTTTTATTTATTCAGTTTATTGGTTGTCACTAGGTACTGGATTTACATGACTGAAATAGATATGCATTTAGGCAGCAAAATTTATAGACTTATGTGCTTTAAAATATATTAACACGTAGCAATGCTTTAGCTCAAAATTTTTTTACACAGTACTGACACCTTTTCTCACTCTACTGCTCAATGAAATTGCAAAGTATACAATTAGATAGTTTTCACAATGGAATATGTGCTGCTTAATACATTTTAGTTAGCATTAGATCCACATTTGAACGCAATTCTTAGAACCTGATAACAACCATCTTCATATCATGAAAAAGGAAGTTCTTTTTATTGCATACCTTTTTGCTGTCACTTGTAGGAAAAGTCCCTTTTGGGAGTTGAAATCACATACGCTAATTAATCAGTGTTCTCGATTTTCAAGATGGACTCAACAGCATGTAATTCTTGAATTGATAATGATAATGATTTTCCATCTAAATATTATCCATAATTTAGACTCAGGAAATTGATATTAGCTACATAGCACCACATAATGAGAAACACACATTAAAAAATTTAAAAAAAGAAAGAATTAAAATAAATATAGTAAATAAATGTAATTGCTTCCCTGTACCCTACACATAGACAGAAACATGATGGAAAAGTATGTCCTAATTTTATTGGGCCTTTTAACATTTTAACTTCATCCTTAACAATAATTCTTAAACTTCAACAATGCATGTGTCATAAAATTAATACAGTATATTTAGGATAAACCCAGAGTGGGAACGCTATACTAAGTCCTTTTTACAGAGATTATGGAGTTAATTTGTTTAAGAGGTTAATTCTCTAGTCATCTCACTTCTCGAAAGTTCAGTGACAATTTTCTCATTCAGTGACAATAATTTCTGATCTCGTGTCTGACTCATTGTTGAAGGTTTTCTGATACATAATTACGTCTCTACAGTGTCTAATTAACCCAAGCTCGTGTATATTTTCTCATATTTTGCATCATCCATTTCTTGTCATGTTTCAATAATTATGCTTTTGTATTCTATTCTGATTCTTTTGTTTCGTATTTCTCTATTCACTAAGAGATGGATATTCTTGTGTCTGCAATCTTTTATGTAAAAAATGTCTTCTTCCTTATTCTTTCGATTTATTATGCAGAGGTTATTGTTGAATTGATGTTGAAATGATTGTTTCTGGTAGCCTTGCAAGAGTGCCCCAACTCAGGCATCCTGTGGGCAGAGGCTATTTTCCTGGAGCAGCGCCCGCAGCGCAAGACTAAGAGCGTAGATGCTCTGAAGCGATGTGAACATGACCCTCATGTGTTACTTGCTGTGTCTAAGTGAGTACTTTTGTGAGAATTTATGGTAAAAGTAGTAGTATGGGGGAGGCTAAAATTAATAATTCAATTTTGTTTAATCTTTTTTTCCCTCCCAAGAGCCCTTCATAGATATTGTATCTTTGAAATATAAACAACTCTCATTTCTCGATAAAACATGCGAGGCAATGTGCTAAATGTAAATTAATATTGCAAATTTTTCTTTCAGGTTATTTTGGTCAGAACGAATGATTCAGAAGTGCAGAGAATGGTTCAACAAAACTGTAAAAATTGAACCAGATTTGGGAGATGCATGGGCCAATTACTACAAATTTGAACTTCTGCATGGCACAGAGGCAAGTGATTCTTATCTTCATTGCACCTGAATGTTCCAATGCCAATATTTTATGTACATGCTATGGAATACAACCTTCGTTACATTAAAAACTCCTAAAACTTTGTTCTATTCTGTATTTATCAAACCAAATTTCATGGACAACAACTGAAACATCAGTATGCATTGAGTGAAATTTTGATCTTTAATTCAGTAAAATATGTGTAGATATTTTATGCACAAGAAAAGCAAACTGTGAAATATATTAAATGGAAAAATTTATTTAAACAGATTAATACCAAATTTGAATATTACTGTTGTCTCCTGCAAAAAGCCAGTGTTCAAAATATTAACTTGATCTGGTACAGTGGTCAATTAAAGGGAAATTCTAATACCAATATTAAGCAGCTAGAGAATAGAAACAGTAGCAACAGGAAGTAAGAAGTAATGTGATTAATGTAATGTATCAGAACGTCATGAAATAATTTGACATTGACAAAAATCTTTTGCTTTTATGAAAGAAAGAAAAGGAATTGTTCTACAATTTCTGCCAGATTATACTATTTTGATTTAAGAGAAATTCATCCAGTGAAGTCATTGACAAAGAACTAAAGAACATAACGAAGTGTGTTGTGTGATTTTCTAGGAGCAGCAGGAAGAAGTGAAGAAGCGGTGTGTAAGTGCAGAACCCCATCATGGAGAGCACTGGTGCAAAGTGTCCAAAGACATTCGCAACTGGCGCCTGGGCACTGATCACATTTTAGTCATGGTGGCTAAAGACCTGGCCATTCCTATATAATTAATAATTAGGCATTTTATCCACTTTTGGTGTGATTACTGCAACAGGAAATTCTCTTTTTCTGTGAAGGTTGTCTGATTCGGACTCCAATAAAGAGTGAGTTTTTAGCAAATGTCTAAATGTAGGGGTTAGCATATTATTTATGTAAATAATATTTTTTAAATTTTACTTGGAGGATGTTGAGCGACTGTGTAAAAAGATTGCTAATTTCTATTCAGTGAAATGTTCGAAAATATTAGAAGTGAATATGGATTATTTTGAATTTTCGTTTTAGGATTTTTTTCCTAAGAAAGACATTTAATGTTTTAGTGAACCATCAAGTGTTACATGAATAAAATTTCAGTTAATTGTGATGCCAGTTTTACATTTTCTTTTTACCTAGTGACCCTTTTTCCAATTTGCCTTTCTATTTTCAATTTCTTGTTGTTAATAATATGGAAAGTATCCTTGGATGTGTATTTAGGTATTTTCCTTATTACTGATGGTACATAAGTAATATAATAGTAATAAATAGTGAGGTATCATAGTAAAAATTGTCCCTTCCTTACTTGAATTCATTAATATTTTGCCAATATTTTTACCTGAAACGTTTCCATTCATTCTTGACATTCATTCATTCATTCTTTCCAAGGTGGATTGACTTTTGAAACTGAAGCAATACTTCTCAATATTAACCCATAAGGTCTCAAAACCCCATTATGAGGACAGAGATTTAATTAATATTATTTATCAGAATATAGAAAGACTCTGAATATGAGGCATCACCCTAATTTTATTTATTTATTTATCCCATACATAAAAAATTTATACAGATAAAAATATAACTAAATATCAATAAAATAGGTTTCACAATAATAACAAAGTATTTGATAAATATAAATTATGGTAAAGAATAAATATTTTAAGCTAAATCATACTGAAGAACTATGTATTCAAAATTAATTTCAGGGACTTCTTGAATTTGACTGTGTTATCAAAGAAGTCAATATCATTGTGTAATCGATTGGCCTCGCATGTAAGTCTGTTGAATACATCATTACACATATAGTTTGCTCTGTGGTTATATATATTTTATATATAAGGTTGGTGAAATTTGTGTTTAAGAACATAGTCACACTTCAGAACGAATATTTGGACAGTTCATATGCCCAGACATTATGGAGTGTTGAAAGACGAGGTTGTGGTACAGTCTTCGAGCTGATCACGTAGGGATCAAATATTCTTGTAGTTGTGATCTTGTCTTAACATAGAATTGTTATCAATAAATGCGAAATGTCTCAGAAATCTGTTCAAGACACCTTTTATTATTGTGGCTGATGCCTCAGTATGTGACCAGACTACCACTGTACATTCCAGAAGAACTCTCACAAATGGGAAAAATAAGTATTTGAAACTGTGGATAACTGTGGAACTGAAAATCTTCCATGTTCCATATCAAGAAACCCAGCATTTTCCTTTCTTTGTTATATATTAGCACAACGAGAAAATTGAAATCCCAACAAGCATCAAAGGTCCGACCAAGATTCACAATGTTATCCACGGATTGCAGAGATCGGTTGTTAATAGAGTATAAATTGCGAAGAGGGACAAGGGACAAAAATTTCAGAATCAATTTCGTGTAATTCTAACAAAGATAAATGTCAAAGCTTTAAAAGGCATTTCATTCTGTGGTAATCTCAAAAATAGTAACGTTCATACATCTGTACCAACACAATTTTAAAAATAAATTTTGTTGACATTTATTAAAAAAAAATTCTGTTTTGTGACGTCATTTTTATCGAAAGATTTTTGAGCATGGGTAAAATCTAAATCCTAAATCCGTTATTTAGATTGTTTGTTGCTAAGGAGCTAAGTGTGTGTTTGCTGACGTAAATAACAGAAACAGTTATAAAATAAATCAACATTACATTTTTAACATCATTCCCAAGGAACAAAAACTAGTTAATAGAGCCCCCCCCCAAATTGTTAATCGAGTCATAATCGCCACTTGAAATGACGAATATTATGGAAGTAGAGTTGGTGTCGCTAGATTTCTCAAGTGGGATTCTTATTAACAGCACAGGATGGAATCCGTCACGCTTCAGTAGAGGGGACATTGCTTTCCTCAGATAGGAAAGACATGATCAAGAAGTGATCATTGACTAATGATCGCTTCAGTTCACTGGTCAATTCCTAGGCTTGCTGCCAGACCAACCTTGAAAGGCAGGTTCACAATTTTCAAAAAAATGATGCCGTGGATTTTGATTAAATTTTGTTGGATAGTCTGAAGGATGTTTCAGAGAATGGCTTAAATATCGTGATGGTTAAAAACTCTGATTTTTCGAAAATTGAAAAAATTCAAAATATTTTTCCGGGTCTTCCTACAACTAAAATATTAAAGATAGAGATTTTTTCCCTTAAAATCTATTCCATAAAGATAGATTTTGAAACAAGATAAATGTTCAATTTTTCGAAAATTCGAGTTCTTTTCGCGTAATTTTAAGAGAAAATGGGAAAATTTTGGGAGATAGTAGGAGCTGTTTTAACACCATTAGTTTTTCTTTACTCATGCATTGAACTTTCGATCTTTTCTCACACAGATTTCCTTCTGCTCTCGCACAATTTATCTGTGCTCATACCTTATTGATTTTTCTTTATTCTTTCGTTAGGCATGCATGGGTCTAGTAGACCCATTGCGTTGTAAGAACACAATATCTTGCTGAGTTGTAGATGTAAATTTACGAGATCTTGCAACATTCTTTGTTGAACGAATTTGATGGAAAGGTTGTCAAGGTGACAAACACACTTTAGAATGGAGTTCAACAATTGATTCCAGGAGAGATATTACTGATCTTTACCTTCGCGATGCTGTTCGGAAATGCAGGTTGCTTCCAAAGCTGACAAAGAAGGCTGTTATTTTACCTGATTTTTCATATACGAAAGTTTAATATGTAGCTCGGGTATTTAGTAATAGCTTGGTAGCTTCTCTTGAGAACCCAAATTGATGGGATGATGAGAAAATGAAAGATTTAGTGTTTGTACTCCTCGGAATAAAATTATGCCAAGTCACGTCGTAAAGTTCAAACTGGAATATGTTTGAAATTTGCGTACCAACGTTGCTTATTTTGAAGTTACGTCTGAAGATATGTTTCCCGTTGTGAAGAATTGGACAATTGGACATAAGCCCTTTGCCTCGACGAGAAGACAGAAAACCAGAGACGCGATTTGGTAAGGCATCGAGGCTCCGAGAACGTCAAGTGTCAGGCGAAGGGGAGGCAGGTGGAGATGAGAAAGCACGATGAACAACAAGCTGAATTTCCTATCAGAATCAGTGATTCAAGTTCATATTCCGAAGCATTGAAGACATACTCTCATAGAAACCAATCAACGGTTTCATTAATATATATTTGTTCTGTTTCTTATCTTCCTATACTAAGGGACATGGAAAAAATGCGCAAAAACTACACACTCTTTCAATGATTTAAATTATTATTTAAATATTTAATTTGGAAAATGAGATTTCATAAAGAATAAATATTTCTCTCATCAATATTGTAGTTACGTCAAAAAATGTCAACATTTTTGCAATTTTCGAAATTCGTTCAGTTAAACGAGAGAGAGACCTGCACCATTTTTATCCACGTGCTTTTGCTCTGTGAGCGAATCAACTTAGTAAAAAAATTTGAGCTTTTTTTGAGAAAATTTTTGAAAATGTTGTGACTTAAAGTACTTCAAAAATCCAAATACCAATTTGCAGGACCTTGAGTTTAACCGGATCGATTAAATGGAGAGGAGAGAATGTCAAATTTGAAGGGAAAAAAAAACAAACAAAAATAACACACACACACACACACACACACAAGAAAAAAACAACAGATGAGGCTGAAGTTGACTATACACATGGTCGTTTTAACAGGAAAGGGGGCCGTTATTCTTACTTTCACCGATGACCTCCATTTCAATGCTGATAAAAGAAAATTCTATTAATTCAAAAAATAAATTTAATTAAAATATTTAAGTATTTAAAGACAAGTTTTGTTAAAAAACTAAACTTCTCATCACTGACTGACATTCTCGCATCAAATGACAACATTCCATATAAATATTATCCAATCACCCGCGACACCCCTCCATTATGCCAATTCTGTGCTTATTTTAATCATATATCACTTTGTATACGTTTTTATTTTACTTTTTCAAACATTTATTAAATTTTGTTTACAGTATCGGGGACCCTTGAACATTGGGGCCCAGGGCCCGGGCTTTTCGTGCCCGTGCCACTGAGTGTGTAGGCGCGTTGCCGTAAACCAAATTTTCGGAAACAAGAAACTACGAAAGTGGGTTCTAACTAAGAAAAGTTTAGAGGTTAATTAATATGAACAAAAATTATTCACTTTTCAGTGACTCACAATTTTTTTTGTAAGAACACCTCATACGTACCTCATTATTTCTAAATTACCAATTTTCGAAAATTCAGAGTATGAAACCCCTGTCATTATTTTAAGCGTTTCTAGTTCTATCCGTTTGAAAAAATTGAAGAAAAAAATCGGAGCGTTTGTTCAGAATTTTTATTACAACTTGCATATGTTTCAAGCACATATTAATAAAAAACTACCCATTATTTCAAAAAATTTTGCATAATCTTTTTTTAAAGAGAGCTGGTTTTTAAAATAGATTGTGCTTAAGGGGAAAATCTCAATCATAAGTTTTGTAGTTTTGAAATGTTAAAATTTTGCAATTTTCGAAAATACAGCTTGCCTGAATTGAGACCATCACCAATTTTTTTACTGTATCTTGATACATATAAGGAGAAAATTTATAGCAATAAATTTGGAGCCGTTTTGATAAACAAATCATTTTTAAAACTAGAAGTGCAACTACAGAACATACTGAAAACAGTACGTAATATTAAAATATTGTAATTTCTGCCATACTACAAACTCGGTTATAACTTGAAAAAGTCTAATTCAAACGAATCGCCTCTCGTGCTTATCTGCATTTGTTTCCATTGTCAGGAAGAGTAGCCATATTTTACTTTTAGAAATGAAATGAACATGAATAAATTTAAATACTATTTACATTACATAATACAGAAAAACAAGAATAAATTCACACTAGCGTACTTTGATTACTTTTGAAATGGGCTTTCATTTTTTTTTAATAACATAATCAGCGATTAAAACTTTTTCAAGTATAGAAGTGTTTATTATTTCTAAGTTAAAATTTATTACCTTCCTTCAATTTATTTCCTTTCATAAAAGTATTATTTACTTCGTATAATCCTTTTGACCGACAACAACGGGATGAATTCGAAGAATTTTGAAACCTCTGCTTTGCTATTTTCCAACTGGCTATGCCTGAAACAAAGCGTAAAAAAATCGAATTTACTATTCGATTTTTTTACAATTTTCGAAAATGAAGAGTGCGCCTAAAAAAGGACCATGTCCACTATCCTTACAGTTCCTTACTACATACGAGAATAAAAATGAAAGATAAAATTTGAAGCAGATTCTGAGAATATTGTTTCGAAAGCGCCTGTTTCATCTAAAATTTCGAAAAAAAGCAACATATTTTTTAAATATTGAACAAGACTTCATTTGAAGAACTGATTTTATTAACACATTTCATAAAAAAATATATTCAAAATTTTAGTTGTAGGAAGACGCCGAAAAAATTTTAAACTTTTGCAAATTTCGAAAAATCGGGGTTTTTAGCGAAAACGCCAATTTGTCTTTCTATTCTCAATTTCTTGTTGTTAATAATATGATAAGCATCCTTGGGTGTGTATTTAGGGATTCTCCTTATTACTGAAGGTACATAAGTAATATAATAGTAATATATACTAAGGTATAATAGTAAAAATTCCTTACTTAATTCATTAATATTTTGCCAATATTTTTACCTGAAACGTTTCCATTCATTCTTGATGTCTAACCACGGTGGATTGACTTTTGAAACTGAAGCAATACTTCTCAATATTAACTCATAAGGTCTCAAAACCCCATTATGGTGACAGGGATTTAATTAATATTATTTATCAGAAACTAGAAAGACTGAATATAAAGCAACACCCTAATTTTATTTATTTATTCATTCCATACATAAAAAGTTAATACAGGTAAAAGTATAACTATAAATCAATAAAATAAGTTTCACAATAATAACAAAGTATTTGATAAATATATATTATGGTAAAGAATAAATATTTTAAGGTAAATCATAAAGAAGGTGTCGTAGGTCCGATATTCAGCTTTAACTCTGAATTTTCAACAACTTCAAACTTTCAAAATTGTTTGGGCGTCTTTCTACCACTACGTAATTGAAGATAGAGATTTTCCCTTCCAATGAAATTTGTTCTCCATAGTGATTTTCATTAAGGTTATGTATATTGTTTTGAACATTTTAGTACTTTTTTCGAATATTGCAAGCAATATGTTCAATTTATACTATTACAAAAACAAAATAGGCTTAATAATAGGCTATTAAAAAAGGTTTCAAATTATTTTTTTAAACCTATGGTAAATAATGTTTCCGTTTTGTTATTTTGAAACCGAAAAGTAAGAACATTTCAAAAAATGTTCTTTGGGCGGCGATAGATGGCAGCTGGCAAGAGTAGGTGGAATATCCGAAGAGCTAGGAAATAGAAAACTAATAATGAAAAGTCTGCGCCATTCTGTAGCACCACTAGTTTGTATCAGCAGGCATGTTTTTTTTTTCTGCGGCCATTAGGGCCTCTTAGGAAATGTGATGCCTTGGAAGCTTGTGGCGATTCATAAAATGGTCAAACTAATTCCTACTGCCTTATATATCTTCTGTGAATGTGTTTTATCTCTATTTCTTTCTCACTGTTGATATGCTATACTGTGAAAATCTTTTCTGGTTAGACCATAAACTTCACTTTCCACGATAAGCAAATACACGACTCTTTTTCCCAGATTATCTTCCAATAGAGGTTTTCTTCCAAATTTAATTAAAACTGCTACTTCTGAAGGTTTGTCAACACGAAATCAGCCTTTGAAATGTAGGTCTTGATACGAAAAACGTACGGAAACCTTTTTCAAATCCATTTAATTGCTCTTAGCAGTGCTGCCCCACCATCTCTTCTGTATTCCAGTTTTTCCTTTTTGTTTTGAGCCTAGAATCTTTCGTGGTATCTAAAACGTTTTGTACGAATACAAGTTGTAATGTAATATGAGCCCTTTCAAATTTGGGGCTCATTTTACAATCATCGCTGTATTCAAATTCTGCAAACAAACACCGGTTTTTGTTACGATCGAAATTACAGATTGCGGTCATAAAAAGAATTTAAAACATTATATTTCACGCGTTATAAATTAAAATCGGTCTAAGCGAACTCCACCTGTAATTGAAAGCCAAAGACTTATCTTTCAAAGTTTTTAGAATCGAGAAAACACGAACACTTCTCTTTCACATTAGCTCTCATTCACAACTCTACCACAGAGCTATGACGGCAAGAGCAGTTACTGAACCAATAGTTAAGAGCGTTTCTACTATAGTGTTTGCGATGTATGGACCAGTATTTCAGATAAGCTAGGTAATACTTGCGCGACTTTCGAACGATAATCTTACTTCCCCCTCTCTGACACAATAAACAGTTGAAGGCAAAAGCTCGCAGCGAGCACTGGTGACAACATTCCAAACACATCTTCACTGGCGCGAAATAATAATTATTTCATTTTGAAGACGAGAACTTCAATCCGTTATTTTCTTCAAAAAAAATCTAAAGAAATTACCGAACCAGGTAAAGCTCTATCATCGGAGATACCTCGAACTCCTGAGAAAATTAGAACGCAAGTTATTGAAAACGTTGCGGACGCCTGACTTGTTCTCCAGAGATTGGCATTGCTTCATAAAATCTAGTGGTCGATTTCGTAACTAATACCCCCACTCTAGCCGCATTTCTTCAATCCACCGTTCAAGAAAAGTTGCGCGAGTAATACCTAGAGAAGAGATCGTAGAGAAAATAAGTTAAATGTAATTATTGTATTTTGAAATCACCACCTCGCAAGAGAACTAAGTTTGCTTTTTAAACATCTGCCAGGTAAGGATACACTGGTTCGCGTAGGCGCGTTGTCCTGCATTGAGCATACTCCGCTGTCGCTGAGTCAGAAAGCGGCTGAAAGGGAAGGAGGTAGCAGACGCCGAAACCCGGCCCGAAGTGAGCATGCCGATGTTCTCCATCTAAATGCACTAGGCAGTCCGCGCATGCGCTCTTGACTTTTTGGAAGCTCCATTTGTCCGCGACCCGCGCTCACCTGCGCTCAGAGGGCCCTGTACCTGTACTACACGCGCAAGTTTTCTTGATATTCCACAGCAAGGGAAAGGAGAGCTCTGGTTACGTAACGGCTTAAAAGGGCGTACCAACTATGGGCACGAACTTGTGAACAGGCTCACAAAAGCCTGCCACGAGAAATGCTACGATTGTTTCGAAAGTACGAGCTAGTTGTTGCCAGCATTGTAAATTGGTACGTGCCGTTCCGAGTCGGACCTATGTATCTCAACGAGCCGTGCTATTCAGCGCTGGATGAGGGCTAGGCAGTCCGGGTATCAAGAAAACTTGCGCGAGTAATACTGAGCTTGCAGATGCGTTCGCGTGCATACGAGCCGATATTGCTATAAGCACCATCTGCCACGTAATGCCGCGGTGGATTTATTTGATCTGTGCCTGTGACGAAGAATTGAGTCATTAAAACGCCTCGCTGACACGACGTTCTTTTAACGCATGGAAGGCATTGCAAAAATACGAGATGGTTAGCACAGATGGTTACGTGAATCGAACTTCAAAATTTGTTCAGTAAGTACGTTACGACCATGTGACAATACTTAGAATTTGCCAAAACATTTAGAAGCAATTCTAATAGAATTCAAAATGATTTGATTTCTTCACTTAGAAATTTCTTGAGTAAATATATTAAAGAAAACATTTCCATGGCCCAGCATGTTGCAATTGTTTCAGATGAAACGTCATTGATCAGATATGACGCGAGGGAGCGAGGGCAGTGCAAAGGCAGAATCATGGATTTGGTTTCGATGCGTGAGCGTTCCCAAATCAGCACGAATGACGAGTCTGTGATACGGGATACAGCGTTCATCAGGCTCCGAAAGATAACTTGTTTACGACGAGTGAAGCCTTCAAAATCCAAAGGTTGAAAATTGACTTTTCGCTCACTGAAAATTGTGGGCGCGTATTGGGACGACTACGCTTTTTCAGAATACGTTATAATAATAATAATAATAATAATAATAATAATAATAATAATAATAATGTCGATTTTGATGATGATTTAATTTGAAATGTATAGAATTGCATATATTTTCGCTTGGCATTCCAAAACAGAATCCAAATCTTAATTAGCACTCTTGCTAATTACACAGCTTACCCAACTAAATTGGTCACCGCAGCCTCCTGGTATGAACATATACCAAGGGGATTCATATTACATACATGGCTCATATTACCAACTTTTCCTCTAACACATTTTTCATCTAGAGTCAATGATGAATATTAACCTTCACAAAGGGAATTCACTTTGATGCTCTGCTGTGACGCATAGACAGAAATGAGTTTATAGAACAATCTCAAAATTTAAGAGTATTAGTTATGCGTTAAATTATTTTTAGCACATTACTTCAGATTGTTGAACTACAAAATTGTTATTGTTCTACAATCACGTATTCAAGATATCTAAATGATTTATGCCTCAAGAATAACCGATACTAGAAAATATATTCCTTTATTAAATGACTTACGATCAACAGAAATTGAATTATAATAGTAGTAGATAAGTACTTTTGCAATGAAAATAACAAGACGGTTATTTGACTCCTAGTACTCTTGTCAGTCACCAGTGTATTGTGGCTGTGCTCCGCCTCATTGTTGCACCATGTCGCAGGGGGGGGGGCAGCGCCGGGGTAAGGCTCGTCCGCTGGTGGGGGCTGCAACCTCGAAGGCGGTCGCCGCGGTGCACTGCTTCATTTGAAGACGCGACGCCATCTTAGCTGGGCTCCCTGCGAAGCAAGATGTCTCCCTCCGGTAAGTGTTACTTGATATGATCTTGTAATTTTACTTCAGTATTTCGCTAGAGTGAGTTATTTCAAACGATTAGTACTAAATACCATTTCTTACTGAAATATCGCCGAATGATTGTGCATTAGGCGCGAATATTCGAGATTGCATTTCCCGTGCACTGCAGAAAACTGTGGTGATTATTATGATCTCAGTAAAAAATATAAGTTCCCTTCTACAAAAGGCATATTCCTTCCTGTGTTGGAACAATGATTTTTCGTACAAATACTTGGGAATGGTTTATATTTTGTGTTTGCGAGAATAGTATTATTACTTAGATTTCAAATCGGGAAATTTCGAAGGAGTTTTTCTGTATTTGATATAAAACGATCGTTACATGTAGTAACTATATTTCATCTCTATGCAATTAATAGTAGTTTGGTACTAAGTACTTCGAACACATTCGTATGCTTTCACTTTATTCAGAATTCAAATTTTGCTTCATTGTCGGAATCTCACGAAAACGCAAGTTGATTGCGTGTGCTTAGGGACGAGGTGCGAAACGACAGGAATTAGACAATGTTTTGGAAGTGGGTTGCATTTGAACGCAAGCTCTCTGTTAAGGATAATAGTGTAGGTCAATTTTCTGAAGTTTTATGGGACAATTTAAATAATATTATTTATCAAATGAAAGCCATGTCTAATTCATCCATTCGTGCATATACTGCAGTGTATTCACGTATTTTCGTGATTGCGTTTTGTGCGTTTTAAATAGTAAACGAATTGTAGTAAAGAAATTTGAGGAATAAATATAATGCGCTGAGAAATGTTATATTGCATACGAATATTTTTAATTAAAACGCATATAAATATTTTATTGCGGCACTGTGCAATTTGTGTGTGCACGTACCTGCAGTTAATATCATGAAACGTTTGTTTAAATTTAGGCCTAATAATGCTTGTACTAGAGGAAACGTCTAAAACTAGCTCTGAGGTGTAAATTGCCATAGACTTATTTCCCATTTTTCCAATTGAAGAGAAAGTGAGTGTGAAAGGTTTCCATAAAACTAGTGCATTTTCCTACTGAGCTTAAGAAAGTATTCAGAATTATATTTTATTACGAGTTGGTGCTAATTTGTATTTATTTAGAGGGCGTATATCGTTTTTTTTCGGAATGTATCGTGTTTCCAAAATCAGCAATCGTGTCTGGATTCATTACAATTACATTTTCATTAAATCCTTTAGTATTCCTGTCAAAGTTACTGTTTGAAATCATTTCCAAATACACTAGCATTGTCAATAGTCACAGTCTCAACTTCGCAAAATTAGAAAGTGCAGAAAGTCCCATTCTATGACCTAAATAGTAGGTAGGTGACAGTAATTTCCTTTGAAATCTCATTATCTTTTAGTGCTATTGTCAATTTCATATTTTACCCTCCTCACCTAAAATAATTGTTTTCATTCCAAGGAAGTAGATTTAATATTTAATTTCAATTGCGAATTCCAATTTGACTACGCTTTTTCAGAATACGTCTATAATAAGTAATGAATAATAATAATAAATAATAAAATAATAATAATGTCGATTTGATGATGAATTAATTTGAAATGTATATGAATTGCATATAATTTTTCCGCTTGCATTCCAAACAGAATCCAATCTTAATTAGCCACTTTCTTGCTACATTACACAGCTTACCCAACTAGAATTTGCGTCACCGCCAGGCCTCCTGGTAGTGATACATAACCAGGGGATTCATATTACCATACATGGCTCATATTACCAACTTTCCTCTAACACCATTTATTCATCTAGAGTCAAATTGATGAAAATTTAACCTTCACACAGGTGAATTCACTTTGATGCCTGCTGCTTGACGCATAGACAGAAATGAGTTTATAGAACAATCTCAAAATTTAAAGAGTATTAGTTAGCGTTAAATTATTTTTAGCACTTACTTCAGATTGTTGAACTAAACAAATTGTTATTGTCTACAATCACGTTATTCAAGATATCTAAATGATTTATGCCTCTAAAGAATAACCCGATACTAGAAAATATATTCCTTTATTGAAATGACCTTACGATCACAAGAAATTGAATTGATAATAGTAGTAGATAATACTTTTGCAATGAAATAACAAGACGGTGTATTTGACTCCTATACTCTGTCAGTCACCAGTGTATTGTGGCTTGTGCTCCGCCTCATTGTTCACCATGTCGCGAGGGGGGGGCAGCGCCGGGGTAAGGCTCGTCCGCTGGTGGGGGCTGCAACTCGAAGGCGGTCGCCGCGGTGCACTGCTTCATTTTGAAGACGCGACGCCATCTTAGCTGGGCTCCCTGCGAAGCAATGATGTCTCCTCCGGTAAGTGTTACTTGATATGATTCTTGTAATTTTACTTCAGTATTTCTAGAGTGAGTTATTTCCAAACGATTAGTACTAAATTACCATTTCTTACTGAAATATCGCGAATGATTGTGCATTAGGCCGAATATTCGAGATTGCATTTCCGTGCACTGCAGAAAAACTGTGGTGATTATTATGATCTCAGTAAAAAATATAAGTGCCCTTCTACAAAGGCATATTCCTTCCTGTGTTGGAACAATGATTTTTCGTACAAATACTTGGAATGGTTTATATTTTGTGTTTTGCGAGAAATAGTATTATTACTTAGATTTCAAATCGGGAAATTTCGAAGGAGTTTTTCTGTATTTGATATAAAACGATCGTTACATGTAGTAACTATATTATCTCTTATGCAATAAATAGTAGTTTTGTACTAAGTACTTCGAACACATTCGTATGCTTTCACTTTATTCAGAATTCAAATTTTGCTTCATTGTCGGAATCTCACGAAAACGCCAAGTTGAGTTGCGTGTGCTTAGGACGAGGTGCGAAAACGACAGGAATAGACAATGTTTTGGAAGTGGGTTGCATTGAACGCAAGCTCTCTGTTAAGGATAATAGTGTAGAGTCAAATTTTTTCTGAAGTTTGTAATGGGAAATTTAAATAAGTATTATTTATCAAATGAAAGCCGGTTATTCATCCATTCGTGCATATACTGCAGTGTATTCTACGTATTTTCGTGATTGCGTTTTGTGCGGTTTTAAATTAGTAAACGAATTGTAGTAAAGAATTTGAGAGAATAAAATATAATGCGCTGAGAAATGTTATATTGCATACGAATATTTTAATTAAAACGCATAAAAGTATTTTATTGCGGCACTGCTTTGGCTAATTTGTGTGTGCACGTACCTGCAGTTAATATCATGAAACGTTTGTTTAAATTTAGGCCTAACAATGCTTGTACTAAGAGGAACGTCTAAAACTAGCTCTGAGGTGTAAATTGCGCCATAGACTTATTTTCCCATTTTCCAATTGAAGAGAAAGTGGAGTGTGAAAGGTTTCCATAAAACTAGTGCATTTTCACTGAGCCTTAAGAAAGATTCAAATTATATTTATTACGAGGTATTAGGTCTAATTTGTATTTATTTAGAGGCGTATATATCGTTTTTTCGGAATGTAGTCGTGTTTCCAAAATCAGCAATCGTGTCTGGATTCATTACAATTACATTCATTAAATCCTTTGTAGTTATTCCTGTCAAAGTCATACTGTTTGGAAATCATTTCCATACACTAGAAATTTTTTTCAATATGTCACAGTCTCAACTTCGCAAAAATTAGAAAGCAGAAGTCCTATTCTATGACCTAAATAGTAGGTAGAGTGACAGATAATTCCTTTGAAAATCTCATATATTTTTAGTGCTATTGTCAATTTCATATATATTACCCTCTCACCTAAAATAAATTGTTTTCATTCCAAGGAAGTAGATTTAATATTTAATTTCAATTGCGAATTCCAATTTCAGTGGGGTCAAAGAAGGTCCACAACTCCAGAGAGAATAGGTGAAATATGTGAAAGCTGAGAGGTAAGGGATCATGTGACAACTTTTTAATTGAAAATATTTCTGGTTTTGTTTTGCTTTGTGTGTAATATAGTTAATTATTCACCTATTTTCTCTTCCTAATTTCAGAGTCTTAGAAACATAAACATTTTTCAATGCCAGATTGGAAAGGTTTAGGAATAATAGATTAATTGGACCAATGTTGCGTGCGTATGTATGTTTTTAATTCCTTATGTTATATATCTTTGTAGTTATAGTGTTAAAGTATATGTCTGTTAAGTAAATTATTTATAGTAAATAAATTTTTATCTATTCTCAGACTAGATAAGGACTACAACAAGAACATGAAATAGAGCAGTATGCTGAGTTGCGATTCATCCGTGCAATGTTTTCCAGAACACACCGAATCAGGAGTTTCAAAACTGGAGAAAAGTAGTGAAGGAGAAAATTTAGTCATGTGATATTTCATACAGATCTATGAGTACTCAGGATAGCAATATTACAATTCAATATGATGGCCAGTCTTCCTCTGAGGAATGGATCAATTTCAAGTGTATCTTGAATGGCAGAGGACTGTGTGACTCTCAACAGATACTGGCCCAGAAAGAATATGACTCCGAAGATGAACAACTCGAGTTTACTTTTAATATTAGATGTGCCCTGATAGTAATCACAACTTGCCAGAACTGAGATGAAAATAATAATGTGTCACAAATTCAGCCTAATGAGATTTAAGACAAGGGTTTATAGATATTGAAAGTTGGCATGGCAGAATGAAACATAAGATTAATAAGAACATTTGCAAGAGTATACCACCCTTTGAATTCTTCTAAGCATTTACATTATAGATATTGAAAAGCAAATAACATGCCTTCAGAGAAACAGAAGTCTTTGGAAGATCC